TTTTTTTTTTTTTTTTTTAATAGAAATGAGGTCTGATTATGTTGCTGTAGCAGGTCTCAAACTCCTGGCTCAGACGAACCTCCCACCTTAGCCTCCCAAAGTACTGGCATTACAAGTGTGAGCCACCACACCAGGCCAGTCTTGGATTTATTTATTTTATTTTTTTAGTTTTAAACAGGCCCTCTGCAATACCTCTGTGGTTGACACAGGATCTCCATCTTCCCGTCAAGGCCCAGGATAGTCCACTTAATCCACACCAGTTTACACAGTTCTCAAGGGGCCTTCTAGCTAGAGGCTACGTCTCTAAAACCCCAGCATTTATAAGGGTTCTAACATTTACTTCTAGCAAATAAAGTTTTCAAGTGTGTAGGGATATCAGAGCCCCCTTCCAGCCATACTTCCTATGTGCATAAAATAGATGCAAGTGCTAGGTCCTCATATCATTGAGCAGGCCACCATCGCATCAGCGCTGGTAACTGGTTTGTCTTGGTCCTCAGCAATTCATCCGTCCCCTTGGCTGAAGTTGCCTCCACCAAGTGTGGACAAGAGCTGTGTGTCTTTGGCCTGAAACAAAACCACAAACTTGTAAATGAATTGCACAGTGGCCAGACCCAGGACAGAAGCCCCCCTGTCGTGATGGACACGGCCAGGCTTACTAGCCAACACTGCCATGATAGAGAAGTCAAGTGGTCGGTTCCCTGGGGCCCTGAGCTGTAAGGATGCAGTTCTGGAGGAGGGAAAGGAGACATTCTTCCAACACATCGGAGCCATCTTCCTGCACACATGCAACACATGACAAAGTAGACTAGGTTGTAACCAAAGACCAGAGTGAACAGTGGCCGTAATGAGAGCACGTTTGAATAGACAATACTTTTCCTGCCTGGGTATTTTTCATCTCCCTTTGTGATTCAAAAGGAAAGGGAGGGGCCATGTGTGGTGGCACGCACCTGTAATCCCAGCACTTTGGGAGGCTGAGGCCAGAGGATCGCTTGAGCCCAGGGGTTTGAGACCGGCCCAGGCAATGTGAGCCTTTGTCTCTACAAAAAAAAATAATAATAATAGCCTGGCCTGGTGGTGCGTGTCTGTAATCCCAGCTACTTGGGAGGCAGAGGAAGAAGGATGGCCTGAGCCTAGGAGGTCGAGGCTGCGTTGAACCATGGTCGTGCCATTGTACTCCAGTCTGGGCGACAGAGTGAGACCCTGACTCAGAGAGAAAGAGAGAGAGAATGAAGGAGGAAAGAAAAAAGAAGCAATCACAAGTCCACAACAGGAGTGAGAGACAGCACTTCTAGTGTCATCGGGCTCTCCAGGGACTCCGCTCCATGGAGTAGACAGGCTGCGGAGCCAAGGGAGATGGCTCGGAGCGCAGAAGCCTGAGTCGAATCTCAGAGGGGAATGCTCAGGGGTTTGCAGCCCTGCCTGGCTCACGCCTTTCTCCCACAGCCTTCCAGACGGAGGGGAAGCTGTACTTGATCCTGGACTTCCTGCGTGGGGGCGACCTCTTCACCCGGCTCTCCAAGGAGGTGAGCCGGGCCAGTCAGGAGCCGGGGTTGGAGGTGGGAGGGGTGGAGGGCAGTGGGGGAGTGTGAGCGTGTTTGAGCATGTGTGAGCGCATGTACCTGTGATGTGTGGTGTGTGTATACATGCTTGTGTATGAGTGTCAGCACACAGCATGTGTGGTGTGTGATGTGTGTGTGGGGTGCATGGTGTGTGTGCCATGTGCTGTGTGTGGTCTCTGTGTTTTTGGCATGTTGTGTGTGGAGTGTGGTGTATGATGTATCTGTGATTTGTATATGTATGCTCTGTGTGATATGTGTGTCTGATGTGTGTGGTGTGTGATGTGTCTGATGTATGTATATGTGCTATGTGATGTGTGTGTATGTAATGACTGTGGTATGTAGTATGTCTGATATGTGTGTGATGTGTGTATGTGGAATGTGGTATATGTGATGTGTGTGGGGTGTGTGTATTTGGTGAGTGTGGCCTGGTTTTGAAGAAGTTGCACACACAAGCAATCTGCATCCTTAATGAGTGTGAGAAAGCACCCCCCAGCCTCCCGTGAGGCTCTGGACCCATGGGTTCCTCTGCCCCCTGCCCACACGGGTGATGGGAGTCCAGGGTTGGTCCTGGTAACAGCTGAAACACTAGCTCACAGCCTCTCGCTCCCACGCTGGAAGGTACAGGTGACACCACACAGCCCCCAATATATTCCAAAATTTGAAATTCCAAAACACGTCTGGTTCTAAGCACTGTGGGCCCATGGTGTCCTGCAGAGCAAGCCCACCCCATGCGCATTGTCTGACATCGTTGGCAGAGTTCTTTAAAATACACCTGCCACAAAGTAAGACCCACGGTTTGTCCTTCTTCTCCCTAGGTCATGTTCACGGAGGAAGACGTCAAGTTCTACCTGGCTGAACTGGCCTTGGCACTGGACCACCTGCACGGCCTGGGGATCATCTACCGAGACCTGAAACCTGAGAAGTGAGTGAGCAGAGAGCAGGGCAGGACCCCATCCTGCCCCCCAGCCCCCACCCCATCCCCTCACCGGCTCCATGGCTTTTGCAGGCCCTCAGTGGCAGCCACTGCTCCGCGTTTATTTCCCAAGAGAGCATATGCCAGAAGGTGGGCTGGGGACGTTCTTGTGCTGGTGCTTGCAACGCGGGAATTCCAAGGGGGTAAGCACAGCTGCCTCCCTGCCCCCCCGGGAAGGTGCCCAGAGGCAGATGGGCCTTTGCTGATTTGCACCGGTGTTCCCAAGCCTGTTCTCACCTACTACTCAGGAGAACCTCTGAGGGAGGCCAGCCCAGGGAGGCTGGAACTAGATAGGAGGCAAACCCCCAACACCCAGCCACGTCCTGCCCCCTCCTCTGGCCAGCAAGGAGCATCTCAGGCGAGGCTTCCTCTGGGCTAGTTTGTCTCATCTTTGTCCATCCCTTCTCTCTTGTCCTCTTTCCAACAACGTCAACAAGCCCAAGGAGTAGGGTCAATGGCCACTGCCTAATGAACTCTTGGCTCATGTCTCGGTGACAGCTGGATTAGTGTTCTCAAGAATCTATCTAGCAGACAGTGGCACTGGCATTCCCAGGTCCAGATTCCACCAAGATTCGTGTATGTTTGTAAATGGTCACTGTAATGTTATTATTTCTAGGATACTTGACTAATCCTCTCTTTAAAAAAAAAGTTAAAGTCCCGCTAACATAACAGTGTTCCCGTTTTAGAGGTCTTGTTCTGTTTGGGGTTCCTTGTAGAGCTGACACGTGAACCAGCAGTGAGCCACTGGCAAGAGATTTAGTGGCTTGCATTTCGGGTTCGGGTTACCAACCTCGACTGTATCCCTGAGGTGAAGCAGCTCACTGTTGTACTCCCTATTTGCTGCCTTTTGAGGCCACATAAGACGACCCATGGAGACCCATGAAGTGTCACCTGGTGGGACCGACGAGCTTTGAGCACAGAGAGACGGTCCCAAGCCTGAGCCAAGAAGTAGAGCCTCTGGGGTCAGGAAATGGGTCCCAGCTCCTGCCCCGCATCCCAACTCTCTCACTGTTAGGTCAGACATGCTGGGGGTTATCTGTGATCCTGAACCACACAAAAGATGCAAAGAATTGCACAGCAGTTAGATTGGAAAATATAGTTCATTTAGAAAGTAAGTTAGAGGGAGAGAGAGGAGATTTGCCTTCCCAAGGTAGGGGAGGGGGCCAAAGCTAAGAAAACATGGTGGCCATAGCTCAAAGACACACCAGAGTTTAACAAAGCAATGGCGAATGGCCGCTTAGAGTCAAATCCTTTCCACTTTCCCTTTGATGGGGGAAGGTCATCGAGGTGATTGGGTGGTGGTCTGTTTCACGTCATCATCACAGAGAGGCAGGTAAGTGCAGGTACTGTTGTCAGGTGATGGATGGCAGGCAGATGGGTGGGTTAGTCATATGACTGCTGCCACAGTGATGGGGTCTGTCTGTGTCATGAACGGCTGATTAGGTTAACTTGTTTACAGAACAAGCTGGGGAGGGGGTTGTAATTAGAAACAATTAGAAACCAATTCTGTCCTTGGTTAGTGATTAGAGGGTAAAGTGAACTGCTAGGAAAGCATGACAAAACTAAGCAATGTTAAAAGGTTGCTCATTGGCTATATTGACTCCATGTTATGTATGTCCTTTCACTCACCTATATGGAACTGAGAAAAAGACAGCTCTACTCTAAAGCCAGTTTTATTAGGTGTGGCTGGCATTTATGGGACACATCTGGATTTACCCCAAACCAGGTCACACGTGCACAAATGCACTTGCCTGTGTACATGACTCAAGACTCAGATGTAATGCCAGTCAGTGTAACGTCACTAGCTGCACAGGGACTCACAGCTGTCAGTACAGCGTGAGCATCTCAACCCAAAAATCCAAAACCCAAAATGCTCCCTAATTCAAAACTGTTTGAGTCAGACACCACGAGTGGAAAGTTCCACTGCTAAGTACTTAACACAAACTTCGTTTCATGCACAAAATTATTTAAAATGCCATATAAAATAACCTTCAGTCTCTGTATGTAAGGTGTACATACATGAAGAATAAATGAACTCTGAGTCCCATCCCCAAGACATCTCATTATGCATATGCAAAATCCAGAACTTGAAAATTCAAAGCACTTCTACTTCCAAGTATTCTGGATAAGGGATACTCAACCTGGAATCACTAAAAGCTTTATCCTGAGTAACCCCACAGAGAGCGCAGCATCTTGTAAGCTCCAGCTGTCTCCTTCAGAGGATGGAGTAGGGGGCCATATTTCCGTTTCAAAGTAGATTCGACCTGGAAGCCAAGATGCTGGAGTCACCTCTTCCTAATCAGTAGGTGATTGCTGTGGGGAGCCTGGCCCATCACCTGGGTCTTTGCAAAGGTTATCTGAGAAGTCAATCTCATGTTAATTACACTAATTGTGTGGTCCCTCCTTCTTGTGGATTCCTGCAGTTGTCCTTGGAGGCTCACCCTGTGTTTCCATTCTAGCACAGAGTGCTGGGTCTGGCTCTTTCTAAAGGTTAAAGTGATCCTTACAGCTAAAAATAGTCCTATTTAATTGCAGGGTTGAAGAAAAAGGTTTGGTTGTTCAATTAGAGTGATTAGGGAATCAGTCTTGAAAGTTGCTTAATTCTGGCCGGGCCCAGTGGCTAAACCTGTAATCCCAGCACTTTGGGAGGCCGAGGTAAGTAGATTGCCTGAACCCGCTGATTCGAGACCCGCCTGGGCAACTTGGGGAGACCTCATCTCTACAATGAATCAAAAAATTAGCCAGGCGTGGTAGCGCAAGCCTGTAGTTCTGGCTACTTGGAAGGCTGAGGCGGAAGGATCGCCGGAGCCCAGCAGGTTGAGGCTGCGGTGGCCAGGAGCAGCCACTGCACTCCAGTCTGGGTGACCGAGTGAGACTCCAACTCAAAAAAAAAAAAAAAATTTTAGTAAAGTACACATAGCGTAATATTAACCATCCTAACCATACTTAAGCTCCCAGCCCAGTGGCATTCAAGACATTCCTCTTGTGCCCCACCATCACCGGCATCCATCTCCAGGACCTTTCCATCTTGCAAGACTGGAGCTCTGTTCCCCAAATAGCGGCTCCTTAGCCCTGGGCACCTGCCATTTACTTTCTGTCTGGGAATTTGACTCCTCAAGGGACTTCATATTCTTAACATCATGCAATATCTGACCTTTCGTGCCAGGTGTATTTCACTGAACATAACATCCTCAGGTTCATACATGCTGTGATGGGTGTCAGAATTTTCTTACCTCTTCAGGTGTCTTTAAAGGAATTGCAGAAGAACCTTCAAAGTCTTGCTCAATGTTAGTTCAGGGAACCAGTGCCGTGGAAAAGAGGCAAAGAATTGCAGGAAGAGTCAGAAAAAGTGTATTTAGAAAGTAGATCAGAGAAAAAGGGTGGATTGGCTAGGCTCGGTGGCTCAGCCTGTAACCCCAGTACTTTGGGAGGCCGAGGTGAGTGAATTGCCTGAGCCCACGGGTTCGAGACCCACCCAGGCAACTTGGCGAGACCTCATCTCTACAAT